TTTGCTGAGGAACCTGTATCTGCTTCAGCTACAAAAGCTTGGTGTGGCGCAGAAGAGCCTCGTAATCCTGACGCTATTGACTGAGGATGACGCTCAACAATGTGGCCCATACGGCGAAGATGATGGCACATTTGTGCCAACTCGGCTTCAGAAGACGGCAGGCGTAATCCAAAAGGCTGTGTCAAAGCCTGCAACTGATCGGTGCTCAAGCTGCATGCTCGAAGAAGCAGGAGAGATGCTGTCTCGACACCGAGAGTTCCGCCGCCTTCGTTCCTGACTCGAGCACGAGTCAACTCAAAGCGCGAAATCAAAGCATCGAATGTCTCACCCTGCCGACGGGTGAAGGCCAATAAATCTTGAGTGGCTCTGAGCCTTGTCTCTTCATCCAATGGGGCAAATCGCATGTAGCAGGAAATTGACGGGATCCAATCGTACTCCACTGATAACGCCACCATTGTAAACCTCTTGGGGTGTTATTGTACGTGCAAGGTCGCGAGCAGGACCGCCATGTTGACTGATTATGGCGGCACATTGCTGACGCGGCTCCATGTCAGTACAAATGGTCCACAACATCAAATCCTGCATCCACACACGAAAAGGCAGACTTTGCTCCACGGAAGGGTCCCATCTCGGAGGAAGATGCATGAGGTGCTGACCGTCCTGTACACCTGGGAACATCAAGAATAGCCATGAAAATGTACCGCATACCGAAAATAAACTACCCAGTAAAACAGGAGGACGGACACCATCTGAAAGCCTTGCTCTGCCAAAGGCGTCGGTCACCATCCAACTGGGGCTCTGTCCGGTTGGTGACTGAACCAGCTGTGGCAAAATCGCAGGAGCTCTTAGCTCGCTGGGCCCTGTACCACAGCCAGCGCAGACACCAAAAGCGAGGGCCATGAACCCTGTTACACTTAGACAACGTGCGGCAGCTTCATCGCCTTGTCTCACAGGGCTCCGCTACCAAGTACGAGAAAGTGAGAAGGACACAGCAACCCAGAAACCCACTGGCGCGCCTGCGCTCTTTCCAAATGGGCAAAACGAGTCCGATCGATCCAAAGAAGCTGCGTATGAGCTTCGTGACATGCCTGCCGCAGGTGCATTGCAAATTGAATAAGCTAAAGGCAAAAAGCCAACAAGCAGAAAGCAAAAAGTAAAGCAATAAGACAGCAAAAAGCATGGAGCAACAAGCAGACAGCAAAAAGTAGAAACGAAGGAAAACATGACAAACTTAAAAATAGAAAAAACAGGCCTCCCTAAACAACTCCATACCCTAAACTCACCCCAAACCCTAAACCAACCCCAAAGCCTAAACTCTCAAACAACAAGCGTCACCGCTGACGCAGCCAGCACAAGAAGAACACAAAACAAACGAGAAACCAGAAAGACAAGGGCAATAGCAGCAACAGCTGCCAGCGCAAGAGACATCATCATCGCCAGTCCACCCCCAACAATCTACACCACGACCTACAATGAACATGCTTCTCAATCCAGGCGGAGGGGCTGTCACACGTGGACTGCTCGTCCGGTTGCGAGATGGAAATGAAGTAGGTTTACAGCTTGACAGACTGTTGCAATGAGCATGCTAAAACCGATAAAGCTACCGGTGTTGAGTCATGGAGGGGTGCTCACACAGCAGCCCATAATCTCTGGAAGCCAATCTTGTGCCTCGTTGCCTCTCCTTGCTGATGAAGCTGAACGGCAGAGGGGGCATGATGAATCAAAGTCATGCAATCGTCCACAGGATCGACACAAGTTGGCTTCTGCAAGTTCAAGCAATCCCGCAACCAAGGTCTTCATTTCTCAGACAGACAATGCGGCGGTTATAGCTCCAGCCTTTGGGAGCCTTGCTGCCTGTCACAGATGCAAGGTGCAGTGACACTGATGTTTACGGTTTCTGGCCTTGGGAGTTTTGCTGCAGCCTTCCTGTCGCGTGCTTCCAAGCGGACGGTCTGGGACACCTGCCAGGCAGTGGGCACTGAACTGCTTGGAACGGCCCTGCTCGCTGAACTGCTGAACTGCTGAGATTTCAACTTCCTCAGGGAGCGGCTCCCAAGGCCTCAAAAGCCCTCGAAGCCCGCCAGAGTTTTCCTTCATACACGTGACATCCCGCAAAGCCAACTCTCAGTCGCTGAAAGCTCTCCTGGGGGCAAGTCGTACCGCTTCATGTCCAGCAAATAGCTCACCTGATGTCAGGCACGTCGCCGACAAGTAGGTGCGCCGCACTGGCTTCTCCTGACCTTCTTGACAAGCCTTTGCGAAGGATTCCACCCTGTCCTGGCCCGTTGATGAAAGCCCCCAGGTATCCATATTTCAGGTAACGCGTCCCGTGTACGGAAAAGGCAAGCGTCCTGCTCACTGCCGACATTGCTTCAGCCAGTCGTATCAGCAAAGTGGCTGACAAGTCTGTCGCCCTGCAGCATGTTCCCGCTTAAATCGCTAGACGAGCACTAGACTCAGATGCCAGACACAGCTTTGAATGTCATTTTAGCCTGAGGGCTGCAGTTTCAACCCAAGCATCATGTCTGCCAGAAATCAATCAGCATATGATCTTGGCGTCACGTTTCTGAAGCCTAGCGGGAGAAAAATGACTTCTGGCAGGGTTTTCTTTCCGTGGAGCACTAAGCCACCGCGCCATTGCAGGCAAACATGCTGTGTGCTGAGCTGTAGACTCGTGCAACGACTGAGCTATCTTGTCATGAGACATGCACGACCCAATGGTTGGTCTTTCGGCTGGATAGCCCTTGCAACAATAGTAGCTCAAATACAAGGGGAAGAAAAAAAAATCATCAGACATTAACTTGCTGCGTGCCAACTTTCGGGGAATACAGAATGCTCACCCGAAGCCCGGAAATGAGAACTATCAGGCAAGCATTCAAATCCCCCCACACACATCACAAGCGGTCTCCTGATGATGCATTTCTTGAAGGAGCAGCATGGAGCCTTGATGACAAGATCTCATCACAAGCAGCCAGTACGCCATCGCGCGAGGATGTACACCGCGAAAGGCTCCAAAGGATCTGTGCCTGAGTTTACTGCACATCAAAGCGTGGTATTGCCAGAGAGGTATGCATCCTCAGATTCTTAACACCGTAAAGCATAGCTTACTTTCCGTGTGAGTCGTCAGCGCCTTGGCAAATACAACAACCCTCTTCAGAGGCCACCACAGCAGATTCTGCGGTGGGTGTTTCCTCCAGGGCCCTGTGCACCTGTGGCCAAACCAGAGCCGCCAGAGCCATGAGCTCAAATCTTCTAGTTGGAACACTACGCGAGGCGCCTCTGGGAGCAATGACTCCAAGCACTTGGAGACGTCTAATAGCGGTGCTGGCTGCATGGCGATACCCTGTGCAAGGCATGAGGAGTGCAATCATCCCACGCCGCAGCCTGTTCAGCAAGCCAGGTGTTCCTGACAGAGCATGGCCAGGGAGCGAGCAGAGCTCGATTCTTCCTGCAGGCGTCTGGTCAACTCACCCATCATCATGAACCCAACCTCAGCAAAGCTTGAGCCTTTGCGGCACGGATGGCATGTTCCACAAGACTTTGCAGCACCTGCATTGAACCGCAAACGCGTAAGCGAGTCCAGACAGCTGCCCTTGTACAGCACTGCGAGGATCTGCTTCAGTGGTGCAACGTGATCACGTCCAAGGAGCAGCTTGTGAAGGCAAGGCTCCAGGAAACTGCCATCAAAAAATAGCTGTTAGCTCTTATGTCCCATGCTCAGGCCTGCGGAACCTGCGGCTGCAAATAACCCAAGCTCCTCACCAATCTCGATCAACGTAAACAGCATTTGAAACACACACACCTCATCCGCAAAACAAGCAATGGCATCTGTCGTGATTGCCAGTAGTCCATGTTGCACATTGGTCCTCACCACGACCGCCAATTCATCGGCGGAGAGGTCTGTTGCTCGTTGCTGAAGCTCCTATGCATGAAAACATGACCGAATATGATGACTGGTGAGGTGCAACTCACCTCCAGCACAGAGCTTCCCATGGCTTCGACACCCCAAGCGCTGGGGGGAGCACGACCTGGACGCACATCTTAACACCAATGGAAAGCGGCACGTCCATCAAGTGTCAGGGAAGCTGACTCAATGCATCCAGGACCAGGGTCAGTGCCTGGAACCGAAAGCATGTGGTCATGTTGCCTTGGGACTATCGCACCTGTATTTGCATGCATAAGACATGGGTTTAAACATGGACGCCAGCATCCTGGTGGCTTGCATGCTGAAAAAAAATGATCAAAAAATCCAAACAACTTCCCTTTTGACATCTTTGTTGCTCAGACCTCCCTTGCAGACCTACTGGAGTGTTGCCCAGGGAACGAGCGCAGTCAAACCAAGACCTACTGCGATTCGGCCAATGGTCTAGCACCAGTTTCGAGCGAACATTCCAACCAAATGTTCAGTGTCTCACTCTCATGTAGAAACCCATTTGCTGCGACATTCTCTTCAGGACACACACACACACACCTTTACTTCGTGGATGCTTCATTAATTCTGCTGATTGAGTTGGCTAAGAGAGTACGACCGCAAGCTTCTTAAGTTTGCTGGGCAGGGTCCACTCTGTGGGGTAAATGAGGGCGCAGGACCTGGCTTCCACTTCCGGGTCGGAAGAACAACCCAGGCAGCTCTCAAAGGCAGGGCGGACATAGAAGCAAGCCGGTAGCGTTGTTCACGGATGCACCACTCTGTCCTTTACCCCACTCCAGGCAAAGCGCCTTCTCCATGAGGCATCTGCCCACAGTATTGTTGGTTGAACTGACTCCTAGCTGGAGGGGCAGCTGGGATGCTGAAACATGATGATAAACTTAGCCTACCCCCTGTTCGATGTCCCGCAAGTGAAGAGGTCCAACGGGGAGGGGGCCAACAAACCATGGAGGGGTAGGTGCAGAAGATTTACATCGATGTCGAGGATGGGGCTGGCGGGCATGCAGATGGTCATGAAGAACAAGAGCTCTTGCCCAAGCACAGGGCTTTCAACAATGCTTATTCTCAGATTTCACCAGCCTCCGCCTCGAAGCTGGCAAATCCCAGCTCCAGGGTGCGAGCACCCACCGGCCCTTTGAGCACTACCTGAGGGGCTGGCATGATCCCAGTCAGCTGCATGTAACAAAGTACAACAGGCACTCGGCGACAAAATGGCCTGCTCCGCCAAGGACCCAGGGCCACGCAAGAAGCCACCTGCTAGTTGTGAGAGCTTTAGGGCATTCACAGCGGCACCTGCTGCTTGCCTGCAGCATAAGCACAGTCCAGTGAAGAGAGCGTCGAGGCTTCTTCCCCAAGAAGTCGGCCAGCATTCTGAAAATGGACACAAGCATCAAGGTTCAGCCATTTGCCAGTCTGCCAAGGAGTTGGGGCCTCGTAAAGCTTGATGCCTCTGTGTCCATATTTGGAGGCGGAATACACTGCTTTTGATGCGGCGGAACCCGACAGTCTGTGCCTCATCTCATCTGCCAAATTGCATTGGATGGCCGCCAATGGCAAGCTCTCTCCAAATCAATCTGAGTGACATCTCCAGTTCCAGGTTCGTGACAAGCTCCTGCAGAAGAGCTTCCATCATGCCAAGCTCAGAAAGATCAGAGCCTCTGCCGTCTTCTCGCCTCTTTGCAGTCTTACCGGGTCCTGCCACAATTCCTGGTAATCGATCTTGCCGCTAGAGAGGGCCATGGCCAGCAGCGCCAAGTCCTGCGTTGTCAAAGCCTTAAAAGTGAGGGAAAGGGATGAGAAGAGAAGTGACATGTCAAGTGCGAGAAAAAGTCTAGAATCTTAGAAGTTCTCCCCTTCGCCTCGGGGTTCTCTCTGCCGGCGCTTCGAAGCTTCCCTTTGAGCTCTCGTGCCAGAGACCAACCTCGCACCATCAGCAAAAATACCTGGAGCCATTACAAGGCAGGCCCTCGAAGACGCTCTGCGGGCGCTGCTACTACAAATAGGAAATTGAAGAGCCACAAACTACTCCCAACATCTTTAGGTTTGAATCGAAGGGAATGCCATGAGTGTCCTATTGTACGTGCGAGACAGGTTTGGCACCTTTACACCATTTGGACGTGTCACGTTGATGGCGGTTTGTATAAGGTCTCTTTATCAAAAAATCTCCACATTATAAATCTTTCGTCGGTCAGAGCTCCTGCTCATAGGGATGGTTCACACGAGAAGACATGATGCATCTCCTGCACGCATGCACAAGATTGAAGGTTCTGCGAGGCTGGCCAAGGCCCCTGCATAAATCTGCAGCTGCATTGCTGCTTTGAGGACGCTCACTGTTGACAAGCCTAAACGGAACCCGGCATCTTGGGTTTGGTTTGCATTTCAGCTTAGCTATTACTGTGCAGAAGCTTTCGAAGCACGAAAGATAGCGCGAAGACACTCAGTGTGAGACCCCCAGCAGACAAGCGCATCCATCACACCGATTGCCTCTGTCTTCAAAGGCATGGCCCACAGCAGAAGTTGTAAGTAGAGGCTTGCAACCCGCCTGTGAAGGACTCAACTCTGACAACTCGCGGAGAAGCAACGCCTGAATACTGACCACATCTATGACTAGACTATAGACTGGGGCGAGGTCATGTTGGCCCTACTTGACGAGGCTCGCTCTAAGCAGCAAAAGTTTGCACCCGCATGATACCAGCAGTACTTCTGAATTATATCCGAGCCCGCACGCCGCCTGAGTACGCGTGGCGGAACAGCAAGCCGACTATACAGTGAATTACTGCACGCGGCAAGGCCAATGAACTGTACAGCAAAAATTCATATACTTCCCGTGCCGCACACCGTGCGCAATATGGAACTCACGAATTCAAGCTGCCTCCTCCAGCAAACAGCACTGTTTGCAGGCAACTGTAGAGCTGCGGGGAGTCCGATTGAGCACAACAAAGTTGTCAACGTCATCCATGACGCATGTCTGGAGACACGCAAGTCCAATGCAAGCCATCTCAACTTGATGCAACATCAGCTGAAGTGAACTATGATTCGGATATACGAGGCCGCATTTCCAATCATGTTATTCCAGAATCGGAGACAAGCACCCTTTGACGGAAAACACAAATAGTGGTCTCTGTCATACTTGTTCTGGACACCTTGAATATGAGAGCTCGTTTAACCGAAGCTACCCTTTTTGCCAGTTTGTGGCGAAAGTGCTTCAAACCACCCGACGCTTCACAAAAACAAACTTGTTCTACGGCCTCCGAACAGGTGAGAAACGAGCAAATTGGTTGTTGGGACCCTGATTCATGTACATGCATGTGATCTCTATCCTGACTGTTTACCTCAAATCGTGGTCAAACTCACGCTTGCCCGCCGAGTCAATCAAGAGCTGTGCTTAACCTCTTCACAGCATGCACGTCGCGGAGACGCTTTCTCAGCATTCATCGGGCAACTGGCTGGGTCCTGGTAGCGCACGCACAGCTAGATTCCTGGTTTTTTCACCAATGAACCAAAACAAAATAAACAGCACACTGCGGGCAATGCATGGACTAACGATAGCTATTTCTGCTTGCTGCTGCGGCTGCTGCAGCTACATCTATATAGACTTTCCTCTTCTCATGAAGCTCGCAAAGGGTCGTGCAAAAACGTCTTTCGTTGCTGGAACTTGGTGAACAATCGCTGTGTCAAAGTCTTTCACCGAAATGTCTGGATGTTCTTGTCGCACCTCAAAGGCGAAGTGCAGCTGGTGAGCTCGGAAGCTTCCCTGGCCCGGATGCTGAAATTAACCGCAAGAATCAAGAAACTTGGCTCCGCTCAGCCTCCAGCAAGCCCAAAGTTGGCCTCCTTCTCCTGTCTCACCTTGCTTTTCAAATTCCAAATTCCAAATCCAGTCAACAAGCAACTGAGTTGCGGGCTTCAGCTCATTGCTCCAAGATTACTGCTCCTTTGGGAAGAGGATCTGGTGGCTTCTCCCCCTTTCTTGTCAGGAGCCGCTGCCTGTCACGAACGGAGCGTTGTAGGACTCAGGGTGTGAAGCCAGCCAGGTCGACCACTTGAGCATCTCCGCCCGCTTTCTCTCTGGAACTGGCCCGTCGACTCGGCCATGCGTCTCCCACACCTACAGTCTTCAGCGTGGCAGCACAGCGCTGCTCGCAGATTCGGCAATGCCTTCACATGCGCCTTGCAGAAGTCACCTACCCAGATACGGAGGCTTCAACACTATCTCCCACCAATGAATATCCTGGCCTGTCTGTCTACATTTATTGCCTTGGAGCACGTGTGACATGTGAGCATGAAGCCAAGGTGGCAAACGTTGTTCGATGCTTAGCTCCAGGCAGCTGCCACCCCAACCTTACTCTGGGTACGCTAGGTTCAACAACTTCTTGGAGCTTTCAAGGCGCTGACCCTTGTTCCAGGTACGTGCCTCACTCCGGCATTGTAATCAAGCCAGTCACGCAAAAAATCAAAGTCTGAGCAACATGGCCATGCAGGGGCCCATTTCTTCCTTTTCTCGACGCCTTTCTTCACGTACTAAAGCCTGCAAAACTGAAACATGTTTTAGCACTGCGCGAAACCCAGAACTTGCCTTCTGCTCGATCTCAAACTCATCGCGGCGGCGCTTCCGCTCCGATTGCTTCGCTTCCAAGGCATCCTGGTTTAGAGCTCTGAGCATTTCTGCCGAGGCCATGGGTAAACCAGGAAAGGCCTCGAGGGTCAGGCTCGACCATTTGAAGGCAAACCCCACGGTTTTCATAGCTCGCCGCACATCTAGGGAAGCCTGTCGGTTTGAAGCCCATGACTGTGAGCATGAAATCCACTCAGCTCAGCTTGCCTCCTTAAAGCGGTCGCAAGTGAAGAAGACCAGGCTATACCGCGTGCCCTCAAATGGCCTGGCAGTCAGACAAGTCTCGCGAGTTCTCATGGAATGCCGACAGGCCTTGCAAAGTGCAAACGATTTCCATCGAAGCTTTGCCATCGTCGCTGGATGTCAAAAGTACGGCCCCTTAGAGATAAAGCAACTTCAGCTGCCACAGCGGCATTAGGCAAGCAGCAGGAGGTCTTTAGACCAATTGCACGACGAAGGAATCGATAATATTGTCCGTCGATCTTCCTAATCTGTTTGTCGGTTAGGGTAAGGGCATCTAATCCGTAAGTAAGGCAGGGGAGCAATGTGGTGAGGAAGAGCTTGACTTCGCGGCTTCGGGCCATGTTGCAACTAAACGCATGGTTGGAGGCTGTTTCTGCAACCCCTAGTCTATGATGAAAATCCGATTCAAAAGGTTTGTTCCACAAGCTCATAGATCCTAGATACCTGGCTTGAGAGACCGAAGACACTGCATTACCCGTGCGGAACCTCAACGCGGTGTGGTCTGGTGAGGACGACAAAAGCTTCGTTTTTTCCTCGTTGAGTTGCATCCCGTACTTGGAAGCTTCCTCTTCTAAACCCGTTAAGAAGGCCTGCATTTGCGGTATGGTCAGTGACATAAGCAGCGCGTCGTCAGCGTGCTCTACATCATACGCGGGATGTCCTACCGACCATTTGTTAGTGGGTTGCCCCGTGAGTAACAGTTTCTCGTCAAGATCGTGCATAATAACAGACAAAACTATAATGAATATGTAAGTGCTAAGGCGACATCCTTGTCCAATACCCGCATTGACTACCCTGCTAGCTGTTTCACCTGTCCATGATTTTACCTGAAAAGTGAGGTGCGGCGTATAATTACCTTTTAAATCCTAGGTCCTACGTAGTTTTGCGGGATGCCGAAAAGCTCCAACGCATGTAGCATGGCGGTGTGGTCAACTGAATCAAAGGCCTGTCTCCAATCCAAGAACAATAAATGCAGAGGCCTATCTGTCATTCTTGCTCATTCCATAGCGAGCCTAAGTACGAATAAGGGTTGGGGTTGTTTTGTTCCTTTACCAGATCTGAAACTAAACTGCGTACTTCTTGGTTTGTAATCTGATGTGCTAGCGGGTAGCAAACAATTTGTAAACCGTATTGAGCAAAGAAATGGGCCTGTAATTTTCGACATTGGTATCGGAGCCTTTACCTTTAAAAGATGCTGACCACCGTGGCTTCTGTCCAGCTTTGGGGTACGTTTTGGTTACGGAGAGTATCATTAAACATATCCAACGGCGCTTGTTTCCCATCAGCGTCTAGGAGGGAAAATAACTCGTTGGGAACTCCGTCCGGTCCAGGGGCTTTGTTTTCGATTGAATTTACGGAGTCCCAGCTATAGCTCCTTCAGTGTGAAAAGCGATTCGTCTTCGTCTTGGGCAAACAAAGGCTCAGAGTTTCAATCCCTATGTTCAAGCGGCGCGGTCAAGCGGGAAGCCCATTGCGTATTCTGAAAGTGGTCTCTGAAGGCTCGATGGGTTTTGGCAGAAGGAAGGTTGTCTACTGGCGGTGTAGTCTGATCCCTACGTCTTCTACCAACAGGAGACGAATGTTGTCTTCCCTCTAAGGCCTCAGCCATGATCCTACCTTCGTTAGCCAACCTGTCAGCCCTCTCATGACCTTCGTAACCTACGTGTGAACGAATCCTTCTTTACTGTCTTTTTAAAGCATGCAATCTTTACGGAATAGCTCGAGACATTTCACACCTGGGGGTCAGCTCTGCAGCTGGGTCCTCTTCGGCCCTGTCCTGAGCGGATCTGTACTGCCTGGGGTCAGGGATGACCTAGGCGGAACTGTGCACAAGACTGCGTCCACCTGAGGCTTTCGCATCCTGATCCCCTAGTTAAACGACGGTCCAAGACTTGTTGGCCCACTTGCCTTCTAGGAGGCCCTCACACACGGACTGGCAAGTCAGACATATCTGGACCTGAGAAAATTGACCTCATTAGAAACTACCAGGGCTTTGAAAATGCTCTGCTACAAAGCAACTTGTCCCTGCCCTGCTTCACGATATGCGTGATGCCTGAAGCGGGATTCCTAGCTAGGTGATACTCTCCAGAAGAAGCCAGCATTGCGAAGACGTGGCTGGCACCCTGAATGACCTGCTCATTTTCTTCTGCATCACTGCTTGACGAAGTCGGGCTGCCAGCTTCCGGTCATCCTGAAGATGACCCTGATAGCGCGCAGCGCTAGTCGTCCTGATCTGGTGTCGTCTGGGTTGAACTTCTTCACGCGCACGGACCTGATGAGACCCTGAAGGCTCCTGAGAGGTCCGGCCATGGCGTCCCTGCTGTAACTAAGAGTTGATCTGTTCACTCCTGTACTGTGATACCCTAGGATTGCCCTTTCCAAGGTGTCCATCCCTGCTTTTGCAGCCCAAGACAAAAGCGTTGCCTCAAGACTGTGAGTACTGATCGCCAAGAGACTGTCTGGATTCACCTGCTCATTCCTGGCTAACAGCGCACGCAGCCAACTGCTTGCTCGAGCTGTGCCCATATTACATGGGAGCAGGCTGCCATCTGCCAACATCTCCGGCAAGAGAGGGTCATTGGTGATGTCGCCTTCATGAGCCAACCTCCAGCGCTTCCTGTTAGCCTGCCAAGCTGATGCCCAAGGCCTGTCTGCGACGCCCATCATGGGCGCAACTACTGGAAGCATAAGTCGCGTTCGCCTGGACGCCCTGGACTGCTTGGGGT